AATTACATCAACACGCTAATTCAAGTACGTATCGCTAATTTAACAGATAAAATTATTTATTATATTAAAATTATTACTTGATAAAATATAAAATACATGAATGTGTTTACAGGAATATTCAGTTAAACTTTTAGTCAGATTAATTTCGCCGATGTGTCAAAATAATAAGAAAACTTGACAGCGATTAATAATGCTTGTGGAAAAGCAACGACTCACATCAGTAGACAGCATCCAATCATGTATTACAAACCTGTTCAACATTATATCGAAATAGGAAGTACTTGAGGTATCTATCGCGTAAGAAATACGAGATGATTGTTGATTAGACAATAAAGCAATTTTTTATTTTAAGCATATAAATCTGATTAAATATATTCATGTTTAAATTATTTTACATTTAATTCTTGGAAATATTCTCATAAATTGCATTAGGAATTGCTCTGGCTAATAGCGTAAAAAATAATTTGCAATTATTTTTACAGAGAGAGCTATACAATTTAATAATATTCAATTATAATTTTTTGTATTTATACAGGAAAAATTGCGTGATAAAATCCATGATTGTAACGTTCTATAAATATTGAATTTATTTAATAACATTTTCTACAACAATTTCCTTTTCGTTTATCGTTTATCAAAACTGCCAAAAGTTTTTTATTGATTTTGTTCGGATAATTTTTTCGTACACTCGCTTTATTAATAAATATTAAGAAAGGTATAATTAAGTAAGAATAAAATAAAACCTTCAACTAGTTATTCAATTTATTTTATTTAGAAACACTTTAATATTTACTTTAAAGCTCACTAAATGTTTAAATATATTATTTAATAACATAATGAACATAATAAAAAATATAAAACAAAATATTCTTATTTCAAGTAATATATGATTATATTAAAAAAATATAATGCAAATAAAAATAAGTATCACCTTTTGTACTATCACTTTTTTTTCTTTTTCCTTCATTAAGATTATGAAAAATGACATGTAAAAAAATCATTTAATGCAAACGTTTTAATTAAAAATATCAAGAAAAATATTAATTCAAACAAATGTTTAAAAAATTTTAAAATATATTTTGAAAAAAGAAAGAATATCTTATGTATTATATAAATATTAAATTTTATATAATACATAAGATATTCTTAATTAAAATATTAAATTTTATAATAAATTATTAAAACAAGCTACAGAGCCCAAGCTATTAAATTTTATATAATACATAAGATATTCTTAATTAAATATTAAATTTTATATAATACATAAGATATTCTTAATTAAATATTAAATTTTATATAATACATAAAATTTATTTTTTAATGTCTTCTTGCATAATTATTTTGTATGTTAACTGCAATATTTGTTGCATTATTTTAAATCTAGTCTTTGATGTTAGTTTTTGTAATCTAAATCCTATTAAAGATAAAAAAGAATCCATCTCATTAGGTTCTGGTATCGGAAAAAGAGCTATTTTATCTTCTTTACATATGGCATCTACGACTTTGTCTATTGCACTTGAGGTATCAGTTTGTTTCTTCTTCTTCCTTTATTAAAATCTAGATTATAGAAACGCATTTTTTTCAATTATTTATAATTATTTATAATATAATTATTTATAATAATAATTTTACATGTTTTTATTGTACCTTTTTTGTATGTTTCCTGCATTTATTTTTCATCATTCGTTAATGATGAGCTTGAATCGACATCACTACTATTTATATTAGACACAGTGCTGTAATGTTATTTATAATTAATGAAACACTTTAATATATAATTTATATAATTACTTAATAAATTTTAAATATTTATATTTACGTTTTTAGAAAACAAGAGTCTCTGAGGAAACTCATGGAATGATAATGAGCCCACTTTTGGACTGTATCCCTCCTAGCAGATTCACTCATTCTTTTTCTGATTGTATTATTTTATGATATGTATCATGCAATGATTTAAACTTTTTTTGCGCTTCTTCTATACTTATTTTACCTATAAAGAATATAAATTTATTGTTATTTTGGTATTTTGTATTTAGATATTTTAGAAATTATTTGATACTCACCATTTAATGCCAAACTATTTCT